TACATACTCGTACCTATTACAATCGTCATCAATTATGACGCAACACTTTAGATCGTATCTGAGTAAAATATACATCAATAAATCATTACGTGAACTCGTTTTCATTGATTTTTTAATAGTCGCGAAGAGAAAGGGGCTGGTTTTTAATATGCTTTTATTAGCTTCATACGTATGTTAGTATGTAACAGTATCTTTGAACATAATTTTGACCACCTTCAAAACGTCGGATTAACTCGAAATTTGGCATACTTAATAAGGACCGATGACAATTCAATATTTTAAACAGTTTGATCCGTTATCCTTACTAGGATCAGGATTACCGATATTTTTTTTCCTGAGACCCGGAGTATGTGCGTCAAGACCAAGAAGGGAAACTACTATTTTAAGCTATTATTTATTTTACAATTTATATTCATTTGTGAGGTCGAAGTGACGGAACACGGCCGATCGACAGCATAAGCTGGCTCTCTGAAACATCTGTAACTGGTATTTTAGGACGTCCTTCCTGAGATCTCACAATTCGAAGTAAATGTTAAGTTATTATTGTTTGATGATTGTTTTTATTGGTTTTCTTTGTGTTTGAATTAACGTTTTAAAAATTATACTTGTTAATTACGTTTAAATAAAATACTGAAATTTTATCAACTTACCAATACTATACCTAATTTATGGACATCATTTCATATTTCGACTTTTCGATTTAAAAGAGGACAGTCTATAAAAGCTTCAAAATCCTACCCCTTGTTTCAGTCAATATGAGAGATAAAACGGTGATGGTGTTTCTACCCCATAAAACCAATGAGTCATCGATAGGGACGGCATGGGGCTCAGTGTAAACCTTTATTATATTAACGCCTTACGGTCATAACTAACAAAAACAATTGATGATAAACGATGTTGTTGATTTTAGTTATCTATTGAATCATTTTAGTTAAAATCATATACAGTGGGCTTAGTGCGAGTTTTTTAACGTTCTCGATAGCGTAAAAGTTAACCCAATTTTGTATGCAATTGGACAGCGCCCCTAGCGGCAAACGCAGGCAAACGATCCCATTCCGTACAAATTTTTCTAATGAAATACGTACTCAACAAATGTTCACGATTGACTTCCACGGTGAAGGAATAACATCGTGTAATAAAAATCAAACCCGCAAAATTATAATTTGCGTAAATACTGGTGGTAGGACCTCTGGTGAGTCCGCACGGGTAGGTACCACCTCCCTGCCTATTTCAGCCGTGAAGCAGTAATGCGTTTCGGTTTGAAGGGTGGGGCAGCCGTTGTAACTATACTGAGACCTTAAAACTTATATCCCAAGGTGGGTGGCGCATTTGCGTTGTAGATGTCTATGGGCTCCAGTAACCACTTAACACCAGGTGGGCTGTGAGCTCGTACACACATCTAAAAAAAAAAAAAAAGTGTGTGTGTCCGCTCCGACGCACGACTGGAGTTTACTGGATATAAAAAATTAAACGAAACAATACGAGAAATAGTTCTATATTACGACAACACGATACACTACAGATTATTAACAAATTAACGAGACACAAAACAAACGACTAACAAATATATGAAAATACAATAATGAGAGAAACGCGCGATCAGTACGAGGCTTTGTGGCGGACTGCCGGCGCAGCAGCCCGGCGTCACCTGCGATAACGCATTTCGTGTGACATGCGCAATCAGGCGCATAACGCATTTCGTGTGACATGCTAGTACGATTTTGGTCCCCATAATTTTCATACCCCGGGCCTATATATGTAAATCGATTCTAAAGGAGTAAACTCCAAAAAAATGAGCTAACTTTTACGCTATCGAGAACGTTAAAAAACTCGCCCTAAGCACACAGAAGTAAACTCATCAGGTTTGAGCCCCGTGAGCTCACCTACTAGTTCAAGCGACGCTGATATACCCTCTCAAGGCTATCAGCAGCCTAAGTAGGAAAAAAGAAAGAAAAAAAAACAGAAGTATGTTAATCGCGCTTTCGTTGTTTATGTTTCCATGTAGAATTTAAATTCGATCCGTTTACGTCATCATAAGCCTTAGCGACGCTTTCGGAAACCGAACAAGGAATTCTTTATTCGAAACTTGAAAAGAGAACCGGAAATGTGCCTCCTAACCGAATTACATATTTTTTTTTTGCTTGAATGTGTGGACGATCTCACAGCCCCACCTGATGTTTAAGTAGTTACTGAAGCCCATAGACATCTACAACGTAAATGCGCCTCACACCTTGAGATATACTTTAAGGTCTCAGTATACTCACATATAAACGCTATTATGATTACCTACTTCTTTCTTCTAAATTTTGACGAACATCGGGTACAAATAACCAACAAGAAAAGGCTCTTAAAATGTGTACAATGAAATCATACATTAATCTTTTTTGTGAAAAAAAACCTATAGATTGCCTAAAGACTATTTATTTACACATGGATCCTCCAAAATAAATCTTTCATGTAACTTAGATAAAGCGGCACGACACGAGAACCCGCTCATCGTGGCCGCCGGTTACTACATTCCCGATCCTGCGGAAAGAATGGAAGGCAGTCGACGTCGCCCCAAACACGTCATTTCGGATCCTCCCAATCCACTAACGGTGCTTTTAGGTACCTCAAGCACCGGTCACCGTTCTCGTCGAACCCGTCGCTTGTGACGAAGGGCTCGACGAGTAAATTAACCCTCAGACATAGCCCACTGAGTTTCTCGCCGGATCTTCTCAGTGGATCGCGTTTCCGACCCGGTGGTTCCGAGCCGGATTCTGCGAAGCACGGCTCTTGCTAGAGTTCGTGTTAGCAACGTCGTCAGGTTTGAACCCCGTGAGGTCACCTTCTAGTTAAGGTACCGCTGAAAAAGCCTCTCGAGGCTATCAGCTTAGGTAGGAAAAAAAAGGGTATACATTATGCAGACAATTAACAACGAAACGAAATATAAATCATTCAAATAAGTCGAACCTGTTCCGTCATAAACTCGTAAGTGACAAAAGTTTATAGATTGATACCCGTAAATAATAAACAGACTCGTTCTCAATCTAGCTTATTAACAAAATCTTATGTCAATTCTATGTAAAGCAAAACCAGTAACTGAATTCAATTGAGTAATTAATAAATACATCAACGTGTTGTTAAAACAGCGAGAGCGCAACTTACCCGTGGATTACGACCACTAAGCCAATAATCTGGCACTTGAATTCCCACATCGGGGACCCTATGCAAACAAACAATTATTGCACAATCAGAAACTACTCGTCCGTGGGTATAAATCAGGAACGATAATGGTGTCCCGTAATGACACTCAGTTTAGTTCTGTTGGTTGACAATAGATGGCGTGCGTCCGAAGTGCGCTCGCGCATTTCGCGAGTTCGGGCTAGGGAATGAGCGGGTTTTTGTGAGATTTATTTTATTAAAGTAGACCGGTAGTTTCACTCACGGTCAACAGATGTCAATTGATTAGTGGAACACATAGACATCACAAAGTCAAGCCCGCTTACATTAAGACACAAGAGAACGACATTTTATTGTTCCTTCCAATTCGTTAGCCTAAGGGTATATACCAATTACGCGCAGACCAATAGGTGTGCTCACGAGATCCGCATGAGAGAATTACTAACAGCAACCCTACCAAGATTAGATTCTACCACACTCAATATCATTTTTTTTAACACATTTGCTTGGCCTTAGAAATCACTGCAGGCTACTACGTATCCAAGCCGCTACTAAAGGAGGTGTTAGGTACACTTACCTTACTTGCTTTTCTGTAGCTATTTTGACCATCGTTGTCTTTTGTTAGCATACAAACAGAAGATGTTTTAATTGTTACAAAAATAAACAGAATTAATTTAATAATGACGTGATCATTTTGTATATAAATCACTTAAGCCATTACGATTATTACAATACGTAATTCTCGCTCCGCCGCGCGCTTCTGTATCCTCTCTTTCAATGGCCCGACGTATCGCTCAACGTTTCATGGGAATTGTGACGTAGACAATATAAACTTAATTGTGCGATAGATACCAGTAATGATAGAAGCGACCCTCTTTTTTTTTTAAATTTATGAGTACAGCGTGACCACCCGAAGTGCCCCCGCGCTAGTTTCAACAAATAAATATTGCGAAACATATTGTCGAGAATCGTTTGGTATTTTTATTATTGTTCGAACGTGGGAGAACTGTAATGAATATTTTGTTGCAAGTCAATTGATTTTTTTCAATAGATCAAACATGTTTTTTACTGTTTTATTATTAAAAAATATTATGGTTACATTTGGGCGTATGTACATGTTGAGAAACAAAAAAATATTAAATATTTACTTTTGTGACAATGAGAAGTACTAGTAGTAATAAGTAATATAAAGTCCACCCTAATTGTATAGGTAATAGTTGCCCTTAATTATTATATGCCACTTAATTATATAATGATTTCAAAGTGGGTGGTGAGAATCACTTGTAATGTAATTGTCTATAGGCAACGGTGACCAATGTATTGTAAGACGGATGATTCTATTTCTCGAAAAAACGTACGACTGTTTTTCTAATATCTGTAAATAGCAGATTCGCTGTGCCCTTCAACTGCTGTTAACAATGCATCAGTGAAACTGATCCCACACCATCGGGCGGGCATACAACTATTAAGTAATATGAAACATAACAGCACAGGTGTAATTTCTTGCGGTAGGCAGCGGCTTGGCTCTGCCCCTGGCATTGTTGAAGTCCATTGGCGACGGTAACCACTCACCATCAGGTGGGCCTTACGCTCGTCTGCCTACAAGGGCAAAAAAAAGATTTACTACGCGTTAATTATTTACACTTTATATATTTCCAAACTTGCGTATACTTAACAGTATATGTATTAGTTGGTCACGGACGACGAAAGCGGTTTTCATTATATACATAATTATATACTTGCGGAAACCGAATAAAAAATTATAGTTTTAACCTTTTTTTTCTTTTTATTCCAACAAAAGAAATGCGGATTTAAAAGTTTTTTTTTTTTTTATACAGGCAACGATAAACTCTCTTCGGGGCTCAGTAAGGGGTACGCCACACCCACACTCTCAGACACATTGCGCAGCACTAAATGTACAGGTCAGTGGAATTTCTCTTTTCTAAAACATGCGTATGCATAAGAAAATGGTCTTGTTGCAATTTTGATTATGTGAAAAATAAAACAAAAGCAGGTCAAAAGTTGGGCCGTCGTGACCTAAAGGATAAGACGCCCGGTGCAATCGCATTGAACGATACGACTCTGACGATATTCGAATCCCACGGGCAGGTGCCAATTTTTGTAATGAAATTCGAACTTATCATAATATGACATTCACGAAGGACTTCCACGATGAAGGTATAACGTAGTGTAATTTTTTTTATTGCTTAGATGGGTAGATGAGCTCACGGACCACCTGATGTTAAGTGGTCACCGGAACCCATAGACTTTTATCTATAACGTAAATGCCTAAGAGATGAGTTCTAAGGTCTCCGTTTTTACAGTAAAACGGCTGCCACACCCTTCAAGCCGAAACGCATTACTGATTCACGGCAGAAATAGGCAGGGTGGTGGTAGATACCAACCCGTGCAGACTCACAAGAGGTCCTACTATCAGTAATAATCAACAGTATTAATTTAAAAATGAAACCAATAAAATTATAATTTGCGTAATTACTGTTGGTAGAGCGTCTTGTAAGTCGGCACTGGTAGGAACCTACCTATTTCTATCCTGACACAGTAATGCGTTTTGGATTGGAAAGCTGTTGAACAATAAAACTGAGACTTGGGACTCATGTCGCAAAATGAGTGGCGACATTTACGTTGTTGATGTCTCTGGGCTCCGGTGACCACTTTACACCAATTGAACTGCGATCTCGTCGACCCGTGTAAGCAATATTTTTTTTTATCAAAAGCATCCGTCAGTGTCATTAAACAATAATTATTCACGAAAGATTACATGCGACAAATCGTTCGATACATTCAGTGCGGCCCTATCTTTACCATTGTGACGTCATCATGCGGAACGCCTTTGATCCAGAGGTAAGTTTTAATTGCCCCGAGCCCTTTGAAGTAACGGCTCGCTACACCCGGGAGTGGTTACAAAAGTTCGCGGCGTCGTGGTCTTCCACTCGTTCCGACGACTATAATAGACACCGTTCAACGGTAATTTGTTGAATGTCAAAGTGGACTAATCGTTGGACGTCAAAGAATACTTTGATTCCGACTTTGAAGCGAAGATACGTATCGTTTTGATACGTGCCATTTGATGCGGGGGATATTTAGGAAATTCTGCAACGCGTTTCCTGTTTCGCATTTCTGTAACACGCTTTTATTGGCTCGGTATGTATGCACGGTGTGTGTAACTAAATGCTCGAACGATAATCACATTGGCTCCAAGACGTCCGATTAAGTTGAAAATATGCACACGCGTCAAGGACCAATATAACTTCCCTCTAGTATTCTGACCAGTATCAACCGGAGAAAAAAAGCATTCTTAGTTCGGTTTCCTATTTAAGCGATTTTTTTTAGGTTTTTAGGTTAATCGTTATAATAAATCCTAAATAAATATATAAAATTACCCATAGACAAAGCAAACTGAGTTTCTCACCGGATCTTTTCAGTGGGTCACGATTCCGAGCCGGTGGTAGATTCTACGAAGCACTGCTCTAGCTAGGACTAGTGTTAGCAAATTCTCTCATGTTGAGCTCGTGAGCTCGCCTACCTGTCCGGGCGTAACTGGAATAGCTTCTTAGGCTAGGTACCAGCGAATACGGAAGCATAAAATAAAATTATGGTATCTATATATATAAAAGAAAGTCGTGTTAGTTACACCATTTATAACTCAAGAGCGGCTTAACTGATTTGGCTGAAAATCGGTGAGGAGGTAGCTTAGAGCCAGGAGAAGGACATAGGATACTTTTTATCACATTCCCGTGGGACGTGACATAAACCGTGGTATAACAAAACGCAACTGATATGGAATAACAAAACGCAACTGACAGCTAAACGTTCTATGGTTAAATTTTGAAGTTGACCGGTTGATGTGTTTGAAACAAACCGTGTGGCGGAGCAAAGCTCGCCGGGTCCGCTAGTAATATAATAAATACTTATCTATCAAAATTACTTCAATCACGGACTTCGAAATGAAATACGTAAATGCAAATACATACTGCCCACCGTATAATGAGTGGTCACCGTCGCTCACGGACGTCAACAATGTCAGGAGCAGAGCCAAGCCATGGCCTCCCGCTGAGCATGATGATGACCCGTGAAGCAGTAATGCGTTTCGGTTTGAAGGGTGGGGCAGCCGTTGTAACTATACTTGAGACCTTAGTACTTTATATCTCAAGGTGGGTGGCGTATTTACGCTGTAGATGTCTATGGGCTCCAGTAACAACTTAACATCAGATGGGCTGTGAGCTCGTCCACGCATCTAAGCAATAAAAAAAGAGTACTTCCGCAAATCTAATTTGAAGTAAGACATGTCATAGCGGTCGAGGAGCCAATTAAAGAAGATGTAGTATAAACTGAGTATGTTAATCTGTACGTCAAGTTGTAATAGAGTTAATTGAAAATATGTAGACTTCCTCGTACAATATCGGCTTATTTTTTATACTAGTGTTCTCGCAGTAGTCGAAATTCGACTATAATTAATTAAAATTATAAGTTTGGATATTATTATGGTTGTATTGTCAAAGACTATTATATTTGTATAGTCACAAATTTCGCCAAGACTACACTATAGACAAATACTCGTAATATTAAAGATAAAGAATATTAACCTATTCTCAATTTGACTACGGACTTTAGGTAATAACAAAAGTTTGACAACAAACAAAGAGTAGGTATATGTGTGTGTCACATATATAATAGTGTGTGTAATGTTTTCTTTATTGATTTAATGTATTTTTAATGCATCATTTTTTTTAATATTAGCATTCTGCACTCCTTCTCTATATCCTCTATAAGTGTGGGAAATTTCATGCTCCTCCATCCGCGCAATTTTCGTAAAAAGGGATGCAAAGTTTTTCCATCACGTATTAATATATAGATGTGGTAAAACAAAACAAAATTATGTCGGTACTTAATAAAACCAATCGGAAAAACTCGACATCCGCCAGAGCCGGACACGTGCCGTCACACGTCATTCTATTAATTAAGGGCACTCCAGACATTTTGTGACCCATTCACGAGAACTACGAGTATGTACTGGGTAATAGGTATTTAACAGAATATAATAAGTACTAGAGAATAGGGTGGATATTATTTAGAAATTTATGTTATGTTCGTAACGTTTTCGATTATTTTGTGAATTTTTTGAAAAGAAAACAGTACTGCAAAGTGTAAAGAAATAGGAAAGTTTTAGTATATTTTTCTTATAAAAAGCTCCGATACATAATTTTTTTATTTATTTCTTGCATTTATTCCAAGAATGCATTTATTTCTTGAAACAACAGTCTTGAATAAACAAACAAAAAATCAAATCAAAAATCAAAAATAACTCATAATTATTTTCAATTAATTTGACAATTTAAGTTGAACTTATCGAGTTTTGCTTTTTATCGAAGATCTCATTGCCTGATAACGTGACTTTTAAGCCAAACCTTATGTCTTCATAATTAGATAAAAAATGATACACCTCGAAATAAGATGAAATAGATTAATTTCAGGCTTTAATCAATTGGAATGAAATAAAATTAAACGAGATAAAATGAGGTGAAATAGTCTCAGTAAATTTGTGTTTATTTACTGAGACTTTTAGGAAGAACCCGAGAAGTGGCTTTGTTTCATTTTCTAACCATTGTGCACTTTCAGAGATGCTGGACAGTTAATTATAAGAAAACAGTTAATAACCCACCGTTACTGTACGTTTAAGCCTGAAGAAACAATAAGCTATAAAAAAAAACACTTAACTTCGGTCCTCGCTTTCCCGTCAAAATCGCGGACGCGACGAACAAATATACAGTACATCAATGACCACAAAAGACTTTTTAAAAGACATTTGTTTAACGTTAATGTCAAAATGCGATTTAGAAGAAAAAAAATCGGTATCATATCGTCTTCTCGCATTAAAACTGTATAATTTCAAAACTTACTAATTTTACAGGCGAGTGTTGTAAAGGCGTAACATGTGATATTTTTAATATTAATCACCTCTGCAACATTTATTTTTTATTTTTTACCAGTTACATTATCTGTCTTTTAAAGTAAGATAAAATTTTGTATTAATTTTGTTAATAGTAGTCAAAATGCAGGGAAACTAAAAACTAAAACTAAACTACGCTCTTTTGACAGTATTCATGAGAAAAATACTGGTGATACCAAATGATTCCGCATATTAACTCAATTTCGAATATTTTTGGAAATTGTACACTTTTAATGCGAAAAAGCGATATGGGAATTTTTTTTTGGTTTTATCTGTTCTCTTGAAACATCTTTCATCAATACAGTAACAGCTCAATTACATCGAATCACTCTTGACTATTATTAGGGCTACCCCCCAGCAGCCGTATCAAATTTTAACGCGTGCAACACTGCTCGTCCCAATTGCGGTGACAGCCGTACTGTGTCTGATTTTTTCTCATGGCTCCTGGCATTTGGGGGTTAAAATGGCACGTGACACATACTTTTTAGGATTCCGTAGTTGTAGAAACGGAACCCAACACTTTGATTCGCTCTTCAGACTCAGCTTTAATTGTAAAAAATTCAACGCGCTTTATTCAATTGGAGAGGCTATATTGGACTAATGGACATGCAGATAGATACAAGGGTTCATAGTTTTCACTGGACGTACTTTATAATGATTATCAGAATTCTAAATTGATTTGCGTAAAAGAAACGAATTCGCTAATTCTTGAATTATTACATAATGACCGTTGTATATTAATGTAAAATATACATAAATTATAATTTTAATATAAAATATATCCAACAATCTGCACTTGTTCATTAAACTACACAAACATTGCGCATTCCATTCACATTTAAAAAATTAAAGCTACTAAGTCGTTGACTTAAAACACAAACGAGAGCGATTTTGGAATTAAATTATTAGTATGTTTTTTTTTTTTGCTGGTTTTATTGCCAGTCTATTTTTGCAGCATCATCTTGCCTATTTTTGTCGCGGATAAATCATGCGTTCCGAATTGAAGGGTGGGGCAGTCATATCACTCCATAATCGCGATTATGGGTCGATTCGATGGACCATGAGCTCCCATGCAACTAATACAAATATAAATTCGAAAAACAAAACAAACATAATCCACCATCGAGACAAATAGAACATTTCTAAAACTTTTTTGCAACTAAAATACTGTCAGAACTAATTTAAATTGAATAAACTGATTAAACTAAGCGCTTTCGCTCAATGACCCATCTGATACTTGCATTCGAAAACGAACATACTTCATCTACTGCCAGTTACATGTTATACATGACCCGATTCTTGAATCAACTCAGCTCTTGCGGGTCAACCATCGGGCTGTGTAGTCTAACTTAACACTAAAAGGATTTTAATGAAACCAAATTATTACAATCAACTATTGTACGTCCCAAAGGATGCGACCGATACGTGATAAATATACAGTCAGAACGCTTTAAACCTATGCCCTGTTCCGGGGTGAGAGTTCGTATCTCCATCAGACAGTCAATCATTCCCCCATTAGTTTCCGACTCGTGTCCGGGACTGATCCGGCACGGTAACCGGGTGGGTGGTGCCACGTTCGATCCGTAACTAATTTTACTGAATCATCACGTTGTGCGATGTTAATGAGGAGCCCGTGAGAATTTTCTGTGTTATTTTTATCAATTATATAATTACTTATAGGTTATATTATTGTCAACAAATTTTTCGTAGTGTAAAAGTTAATCAAAAAATTCCAGTGTAACTTCCATTTGGAATTATAAAGAATTCCTTTACCTATACCTATATTATACAATTTTAGAAACTTTATTATTACATATTTAATTAGATAGATACTATTTTGATGTCTGGCTAAGCTGTTTTCGAGAATAAATGTTTATTACCGTACTTCATTTAAATCAAAATAATACACATCTATATCTAATAATAATAGCTTAAGTAATAATAAATTATGAAATAGGAAGGTAAATCAGATTAATTATAAAATCTATCCACCAGACTTCGCCTAAACGGAAAATTGATAAATCACATTCAAAAATTCATGACACGAACAAAATGAAAATAAGAATTAATGAAATGCATATCTCACATAATTTACATTACACATTATCAATACAAACATTAAGATAACAAAACTATTCGTTACCCAGAATCCGTTCGGCACGACCCTCGAAAATGTTTATTGCCTTGCAGAGAGTTAACAAAATAAATGGCTTAAATTTCTACACCCTTAATGAATGCATGCGAGGGTTCGTATATAAATTATTGTTACGTTGCATTTTTGGGTGATAGTGTGTTGGTACGAATTGTGAAAGACAGCGATTTATTATCAAATATTCATGCAAATTTTAAAATGTTTCCAACTTGAGTACTTGATTTTATTTCCCGAGTAGGTAGACGAGCATACGGCCCACCTGATGGTAAATGGTTACCGTCGCTCATAGATGTCTTGGCTCTGTCCTTAGCAATGCCAGGGGCAGAGCCAAGCCGCTGCCTACCGCTTAATACTCTCCACAAGCCTCGTTTGAAGAAGGACATGTCACATTGGTTCACATTTTTAATGTGCTTCGGTACTTATGGCGATTTTGCCACCACTATAAAAAAATATTGTTTATTCTATGACCAAACCACACATACACTCAAGACAGATAGACTGACACATTGACAGATATAGAGCATGGATGTCATTTTTCTGCAGTTGATACGTATTCAGAATTATAAAACCAATCCTGTGTAATTACTTAATCCAGTGATAATTGTGGTGTTTCAATATAGAATTAAAGGGACTTACAGTGTTTCTATTATCCTGAAACCCTCAGAGAATCCCCAAATACCGTGTAACTTTTGTAGCATACTATGAAAAATAATCCCTACTAATATATAAATGTGAATGTAAGTTTGTTTGTTACGCTTTCACGCGAAAACTACTCAACCGATCATCATGAAACTTTGTACACATATTTTTGGAGGTATTAGAAGTAATATAGGATACTTTTTATTAAGAAAAAAAAAATATTTTTTACGAAAAATTAAAAAATTGTTTGTAAAAAAATCTCAAAATCTAGCTTCTTCAACGCCATCTACCGGTTTAGTAATGAAGTTCCAATCCTGTGTACTGTAAATGAAGTCGCAAATCAAATCCACATAAACTACTTAACTACTCACAATCTGAGATGTACTTATTTAATGTTTATCATTGCTCTAAAATTTTGTCGGTCATATTATGTCGCTTAAGAATCATTTTACAAAAACATTTCGGTACAACAATGCATAAAATGCATGGGCGCATACTATTATTTTTTGTATCTATCTCCCGGCGAGGAAATGACTTCATAGAGCGCCTTCTCGTTCAGGGCAAAGTGGAAGGCACCAGACCGCGTGGAAGGTTGCTCATACGATGGACTGACCAAGTCAAGTCAGCAGTTGGCGCCTGTTTGCATGAGCGTACTAGACTCACCACAAACCAGTATAAGTGGCGATTGCTCGAGAGGCACATAACATATAACCACAGCAATGATAATCAATGACAACCACGACCGCTCTGACCAGAGTGATACGACAAAGGAACACAACAAAAATAAAATCAGCCCTATCCAACTTTTCACGGAATATTTAATTGGTTATTTTCGAAAGATATGACGAAAGCTCAAAACTTGGACCAATCATAGGTACTAGTTAGGCACGCGTCACTCTCCGGAAGTAGATGACGAACGAAGCGCGTGCTCTGACGACGACACCGCTCAATGAGACGTACGGGGGCGCACTTAAAACATTTTTATTGTTACCAGTCGACGCTCAGAGGACATTGTTACGGACCCTCAGTACAAGAAATAAATGCCTACGGCTTAGATACGGGTAAACGAATCTCTATATATAGTCTCAGCCTAAGTATTTTCTTCGCTTCTGGCAACTCTCGCTCTATTGTAAACTTTGACAGAAATATTAAATTGTCATGTCTTTAAATATGTACGTTTCATAAACTTGATTTTTATTTTAAACTTATTACGGCAATGATTTAAATTTCATTTTCTTTTAAATTCTGCATTTTCTAAATAAAATTTATCAATGGCGAATAAAGATTATTACGAACGATGGCTCAAAATGAAAGAAGCTATAAACACGACAATTCTCGAAGACGAAAGAGTACAAGAACTAGCCGCAGCATTTATTGGTATAAAACCACAAGGCACAGCTGTTGAAATTGTAGCCCGAGTTTACTGCAAATATTGCGACCTGTACAACAAACTTTGCGACTGCTATGATCAAATGGAACAAGTTCAAAGGCGGCCTTACATAAAGAAAATAATTGATGCGTTAACGTGTCGTCTACTCGAATTGAAGGCAACATTAGAAGACGTCGAATTGTTTGAGTTCACATACCCTGAAAATGCTTTACAACAAATGTTAATGATACCTTCTGATATACAAATACTTTGCCCTTTCTTCTACCCATTCGAGACACGACAAGAAGAAATGCAATACATAGTAGATCAAATTTTAGCTGGTAACAGAATCGGTGATCCAACACCGACTCCTTCAGAAATTGAACGGAAAGAAGAGGCGCGCTTAGAAGATGAAAGAATAAAACAAGAAGAAAAAGAGGCAGAAATTAAAAGAAAACTAGTTATGGGAGAAGACATAATTGAACCAGAAATTGTAATTACGTTGTCACCAGAAGATCAAGAAGAACTTAGACTTAAACAAGAATATGAAGCCCATGTATCAAATATACAAAGAATGGAAAGATCAAGAATTACCACCAGAGAAAATGCGCATAAAGCAAATAAAGATGCCAATTTGTATTTAGAATTAGCTGGTTTAAAACAACCACAAGCCAAGGAAGAACTAAGACTAAAGGCAGCACATTTAATACAATCTGTATACAGAAAATTTATGCACATAAAAAGAGATCATGTAATAGAATACAAACTTAAACAAAAACTAGGAATGATTATCCCATCGTGGTCAACACCTTCACATAAACTTCAATTGGAGAAAGTCCGAGAAGAACGTAGAAATTTTAGAAGACAATATTACGAAGAGTGGCTCCAGAAAAACCTTAATGAAAAAACACGGGTCCTGAAATTAAGAAAAGGTGATATAATGGAAGATATTTCAGCCGAAGTCCGACAATGGTTTCAGGAGTGGTATAATGAAGCGAGGCTATTTGATGAATATCCTTGGCCTGAAGAAGGTGGTTCGATTTTAGTTGTCCAGGGAGAAACTTTCAGCGTCCCAGAATATATGGAATGGCGTAAAGAAGAAGAAAAAAGATTAAAAGCCGCAGCCGGAAATCCGAAGACAAAAGAACAAATTAAAGCGGAAAAAAAGGCTGAGAAAGAAGAGAAGAAGAGAATAGAAATGGATGCAAAGGAAAAAGAAAAGAAACGTCTATTAGATTATAAAAAGTCTAGATTAAATCCAGATAACGATCCCGGTGTCTATATAACGCCGGGTCAAAATATAGAGCCGTTGAAAAGTGCCTGGGACTCTTACCAAAGTCAGTGGAAAAATATTGAGACCCCGGATGCTCCTCGTGAAGTTACTAAAGGCTACATAATGCAACTCATAACCGAATCAGCCTATCAGGATGTTCAACTACAATTAAGACCTATCGTAGATGAAATGATGAGATTGGAACTAAACTTATTAAAGAACTCGCTAAAACTAGATTATCAAGCCGCCGGGATTATTAAACCCCCTCAAACCATGAAGAGAAAAAAGCCTAAAAAACAAAAGTCACCTAAACCCGATAAAGTAAGTCCTGCAGCCATGTTTCAGCAACTGGTCGATGAAGGTATAATTAAAAAGTACCCTAAAGTAACGCTTGATGATTACTGGGGCGATCAAAACTATGCTGCTGCTGATATGAGAGCAACGCTTTGGACTCCAGCTTTTCCACCACATAGCATTGGTGACGTGAAAGAACAAGTGAGAGTACGTTGTTTGCTCACTCTCTGCTCTTCATGTCCAAATGCAGTGAGGACTCAGCTACTTGTGGGTCCTAAGTCTGCGGGTAAAAGAACATTAATTTATGCAATAGCAACCGAAACTAACTCCATCTTGATAGATCTGTCGCCATTAAATGTATACAACAAATTCCCGGGACCAAAGAATTTGAAGATTATGTATAGCTTCGTAAACAGAATTAGCAGATTGATGCAGCCGACCATAATATTAATTGAAAATGCCGAAAAAATGTTTTACAAGAAAGTACCGAAAGAAGAGAAGTCCTTCGATCCTACTCGGCTACAACGAGACTTTGTTAAAGAAATAGTAAAACCTATAACTCCTGAAGACAAGATCTTGATTCTAGGTACAGCAGCGGAACCATGGCTCGCGAAAGGAGCTCAGATGTCCAAAGCCTTTCCATCGCTGATCATGATGCCGAGGAGTGATTATGGCAGCATATCATTCATTCTAACAAAAATTCTCATGAAATATCATGGTGTCAAAAGAGATTTTAATGTACACAGTGTCGCACAAGCCTTAAGGGGCTATGATATCAACAGCATAAAGAAAGGAGTCGAAACCCTGTTGAATGGTGAGCGTATTGCTCAACTCTACCACAAGCCATTACAACCTGACGAGATTTTAATTGCAGTACTGGATACCGAAGGCGCAACCTATACAGGTAAAGAGGATTATGCGTTATACAAAAATTGGTACGAGTCATATTCCCCTTGGGGCCAGAAATATTTGGACTACATGATCATGATTGAGTCGCAATTGGCCTATAAACTGAAAGCAGAGAAGAAAAAAGCCGGATAGCACTTGCAAATTTTCTATGAATGCATTACAGAGAATATTTCTCCCTTTCTTTACTGATATCTTTTTTTCTGAAAAAAACTGGACTTCTCCATGGTTTGGAACTACTTCACAAAAAAAAGATAAAAAATCGGTTAGCGACAGAAGAAAGTTATAATAAGTAATCAACTGTTTTGTCTCAGTCTCTTTACATAAAAATTATAATAATTTATACTTTTAATCGTTTATAAGCTTGCACTGTAATTGATAAAAATAGCTTTTTTTATTGAATTTTCCAAGAATTCTTGTCATTTTCAATTTTCAGGGATAATTAAACATTCCATTAAATAAATTTACATGCCCACCACAACAATATAGCTTTGTTGCTTTAGTAAAATTCCGATAGCTATTGCTAATTTTTTTACCTATAGACATGCAAATAAAATTTTCTAAATAATGGCAGCACCTACGCTACGGAATTTGACGAAATCGAAGTTGAAAGCTACCTACGCTTTGAACCCTCTACATCGTTACTCAACTTTAATGTTCTCTTAGTTCCGAATATTTGATATAGATGGCAGTATTGCATGATAAATGTTAATGTTGATATTAATTGCGTATAGATGGCGGCACTCAAACAAACTAAATTTTAGATAAATTCGCTTTTGTAAGAATTGCATTTTTCTTTTGTTATCTGCAGATAACTTACAAAATTTTCCGATCAGCGACATACGTTTTCATTACAGGCATCAAAGGCCTACGGAAATGCACCTGCTAAATATTAATACAATAATAGACGTTAAAAAACAATACCAACTAATATCAAACATCTTTAAGTGTCTTACTTTTGTTTTTCCTACCTATGCTGATAGCCTTGAGAGTATATTTCAGCTTCGCCCTAACATGTAAGTGAGCTCACGGGGCTCAAGCCTGACGACGTTGCTAACACGAACCCTAGCAAGAGCCGTGCTTCGCAGAACCTATCACCGGATCGGAAAAGCGACCCACTGAGAAGATCCGGCGAGAAACTCAATGGGATATGTCTGTGGGTTAATTTACTCGTCGAGCCCTTCGTGGCAAGCGACGGGTTCGACGAGAACGATGACCGAGTGTCTACTGAATTTTTTTAAACTATCACAAAATCACTAAACAATTAAGAATGCAAGCGTTATATATCTAAAATTAATTACTCGCAAAAAAACCCTTAAATTTACCATTGAAGTTGCATTATTAAGTCTTGAAACAATCATGAGCGTCACCATTGAACAGGACATATCAATTTTACATTCACTCTCGGGAGCTTCGAAGTGGAGCAATTTAGCATAATTTACCGATACAGACAAACCCGGTAGGAAGCCTCGCAATTCGTCACCAGTGGAGGCCGGGTGACCAATAGCGCGCCGAAAGTGGGTCGTTGAGGTGGTTACAATGAACCACACACCCGACTAGGGCTGGGACTAAGTCACGTATACGCTATTTTTGGAATTAACTAAGTAATTTAAAAAGATAACGAAAATTCTACAGTTTATTTCGAACAATTCAGCTTTATTCACAAATATTGGTCATTTGGTCCAATATTGAAGCGTTCTAAGCGTGCGTACATTAATATATCGCAATTCCTTGCACGATGCGCTACGTAACAATACCTACCTACTATTAAAAGTATAATTTCTCTCTAAAATCTCTCCAAAGTAAAATTTTACGAATACATCAATAAGGACATCATCACTTCATTTAAATACATAACCTAGTGATTGGCTTTAAAGAAAATACACTCTATAATAAAAAAACAAAGTTTTTATTTATTTATTACTTAGTTGAGTGGATGAGCTCACGGCCCACCTGCTGCAAATGGTCACCGAGGCCCATAGACAACAATAACATAAATCTCGCCACCCATCTTGAGACATGAGTTCTAAATCTCAGTTTTAAAGTACAACGACTGTGTCATATTTCAAACCGAAACGCATTGCTGCTTCACGGCAGAAATGGGAAGGTGATGGTAAGTACCATACCTACCCCTACGAGCCTTATCTATCACCAGACTTGTATTCTATCGATCTACAAGAGCGTAAAACGCATAAGTTCCTAATAGTGCCAACCTTCACAAGACCTAGCCGACCTTGACAGAGCCGAACCGATACGCAGCCGACATTGTTCACATCCCTACCGGGGGCAAGGCTTCACCTCCGGACGCCGCTGTCTCCGCGCGCCGCCGCCATTTCCGAAATGAGTGCGCGGCGTGTTCCGCTCATGCCGCAACTACAATGGCCCTTTATACCTTCCTACCGTTAATCTAGTTGATAATGCGATTAGCACTACGCTTTGTGATCTGCCCGTGCGGCTTCTAGTTGACGGGTCAGTCGATACGGTTACGTAAGCAAGTCTGAACGACTTTTGATCCATAAAGTCGTTTAGTTAAATAGCTCGTTAAGGTGGTGGTGGTACTTGATAGAATTAAATTGAGATAGATGAACTAATGCTCACTAGAAATTTTAGCAGTTATTTAAGTTTTGCAACACAAACAATTCGATTTTTTTTAAATTATAAATCTAGCTTTTACGACAACCCAATTGTAATAAAACAAGTGGGGTAGTCGTAGAAAAAAAAACAGGGACTACAAATGAACTTGTGGACGAGCTCACGACCCACCTGATTCTAAGTGGTTACTGGACCCCATAGACATCTACAACGTAAATGTGCCTCCCACGTTGAGATACAAGTTTAAGGTTTCAGTATAGTTACAACAGCTGCCTTACCCTTCAAACCGAAACGCATTACTGTTTCACGACTAAAATAGGCAGGGTGGTGGTACCTAGACGTGCAGACTCACAAGAGATCCTACTACCAGTAATTACGCAAATTATAATTTTGTGGGTTTGATTTTTATTACACGATGTTATTCCTTCACCGTGGACGTCAATCGTGAACATTTGTTAAGTACGTATTTCATTAGAAAAATTTGTACCAGCCTGCGGGATTCGAACACCGTTGCATCGCTACATACGAATGCACACCGGACGTCTTATCCTTTAGGCCACGACGACTACAAGTTGACTATCTACTCTTGCAAGTTCACAAGACGCCCGGCCCTGCGTAATTACGCAAATATTTTTTGGGTTTTTTACACCACGTTATTCCTTCATCGTGTGCATAAATTCATAAACGTGCCTTCAGTGGTTGTTTCAGTAGAAAAAAGATTACCGGCCTGTTTGAATGCCGGCCTTGTCACATCAGTCGATACGAGTAGGTACATCATCATCATCATCATCATCAACAGCCCACAGTCGTCCACTGCTGGACATAGGCCTCTCCCAATCCACACGAGTAGGTACATCGGGATCTTATTCATTAGGCCAAAACGATTTCATAAGATCATTACAATTGAAACTCCGAGCTTATGTCTCCAGATGGCGGATGATGGCGGCCATTACCAGATACACCATGAGCCAGTCTGGCTATGTACAGCAATTTTTTTTTATTGCTTACATAGGTGGACGAGCTCACAGCCCACCCGGTGTCAAGTGGTTACTGGAGCCCATAGACATTTACAACGTAAATGCGCCACCCACCTTGAGACATAAGTTCTAAGGTCTCAGGTATAGTTACAACAGCTGCCCCACCCTTCAAACCGAAACGCATTATTGCTTCACGGCAGAAATAAGTAAGGTGGTGGTACCTACCCGCGCAGACTCTCAAGAGGTCCTACCACCAATAATAAAAAATCCCATCCTTTTGCCATTCTAGGCACACAATTCCCAAGAAGGTTTGAAGGTATACAATTTTTCAGACAAAATTCTTAAATATATCTTTTCCCCAGAATATATTTCTGATAAGAAACTAAAATAAGCTGAAGAAACCCTTTTCACATAACTAATGACGCATCATTCGTGAAACGTAACTGCTGCTGTAATAAATGGAATATTCATTCAAGATATTGAGTCTTCGATAAATCAATTTTCCTTCAACTCGTGTCTAGAAGTAATACCTATCAGAACCGGTAATAGTCTCGGAAGCGCCACTTAACGGGCTGCATAACCTAGAATGAGTAGAATTTAATATCGAATCGGAGACGATTTTAATAAAAAACAAATCCTGACTCTTACAACTGAGCTATCTCAGTTTCATACTGATTTAAATTCACTTTTATTTCACTCCAACTTGATTTTTTATTTACATGTTCGATTTTAAATTTCGGTTTACTTCTACAATAAATTATAATATAAGAATTTTTGGAATTTTTTAGGCGTTAATCATTTCACCCTGCTCTTAACATGCGTGATCTAGTTCTACTAATTTTTTTACTACTAATGCTTTTTTTTTTTTCATTAAATGTCCTACTTATTTCTACTGCTTTTCCTGCCCATATTGCATCTGCTAATACTGCGGTAGTACTTATTGAAGTTATTGTCAGCTCGCACGAATGTACTTTACCCCGTGCCTCAAAGTTTGCTGCGTAATTCAATGCATATTATTATTTACTGTCAACTTCTGCTAGAATAGATTCCTCATTGCTGTAAGTCGTGATCTCTTCCTGGACGACTGTCAGGCTTCGTCCTTTCGGTCATTTCTAATTTTTTTTATTGCTTAGATGGGTGGATGAGCTCACAGCCCACCTGGTGTTAAGTGGTTACTGGAGCCCATAGACATCCACAACGTAAATGCGCCACCTACCTTGAGACGTAAGTTCTAAGGTCTCAAGTATAGTTACAACGGCTGTTCCACCCTTCAACCGAAGCGCATTACTGCTTCACGGCAGAAATAGGCAGGGTGGTGGTACTCACCCGCGCGGACTCACAAGAGGTCCTACCACCAGTAAAAGTAAAAGTTTCTTCTCGATCTAACCCGTAGCCAAAGATTTCTCTAGGTTGTCGCTTTTTCCTATAGCACTTTTTTCCCAAGATCACCCTACCGAGACAGTCTCGGTGTTCGGCTCAAGATAAATAAACCTTAAATAATGAATATTAAAAAAGCAACTTCTACCACCACACCTACCACAGTTAGTTTCCCAACTTTCCCTATAAAGGCTCCCGTGTTCTCGTTACGAAACTTAGTCTGTCAACCGTTGACAGTACCTATTGTTCCGACCACAGTCGCTCGATTGTTTTCATTTAACTTTTGAATCCATTGTATTCCCATATTAGTTCCGAATTAAACCGTTTTGTCTTTTAGTATTCCATTTCTTATTAGGAATTACTGTGGATACGTTAGTATGGATCTATCATCATCTACAATGATCAGTCCTTCTTCAAACAACATGACTAACGATTCTCGGTAGACATAATAATAATATTATAGTAAAGTTATTTCTTTAACAAGAAGGAAACATGAATCATGTCTAAATAAGTGTAACCTAAATATCCTTTTTTTCTATCTCTAAAAAATGATCTTTCTCTATAATCATTCTTTTGAACTAGTGAGATATTTCATGTCGACTCGATTGATTTAAAAATATCAAATCGAAGCCAAAAAATAGAATGCTGGAAATACAAAACTCAAATGCTACTGCAAGATTGATACGGAATATGCAAATCAAAGATACCTGAAACGGAGAGGTGGCAAAATGTAATCTTCCAATTCTTAATCAACATCAGCTATTGCAATTCCAAATGCAACACCGAAATAAGCACCTAAAGGAAATGAAAGCATCGCGGAGGCAGTTAATTAACGACGCTTCATCTCCGAGCCGCTATCGACTGAGATTCGCGTGAAGCGATACAGACGCACATATGTTATTAGAAATGTCTACTTATTTTTTCGATTTCCATGAAAAGGCCGCGACGGTTTTTGTCGTAATCGTAAATAAACAGATTCTTGTGCTTAGTGATTAGCTGAGTTAGTT